ATAAATAATTAGTGATGATATAAGTCCTTGGCGCATGCAAAATACTAAGTTCCTGTTTCATTTTTTTAAAAAAAATATTTGCATATGATTGAAATATAGTGGGTCATTAGTGTTTACTCGTATTATAGTGTCCAGCTCTTGGTTAGATTGGTGTAAACCTGGAACAGAACCACTGCAGTCCGTGGAATTACTCTGAATTTACACTAGTGTAGCCGGCCCCGTTTGTTGAAACAAACACATTTGTGAAATGTCAGTTATTTGAATACCCATCTACAAATAACCAAGCAGCAGGGGTCTGGTTAATTTCCACAAATGCTGTGATCTCGGGTCTACACACCATTGTATTTGATTTCATTTATGTCCACATGGTGCCACGCAGATAACTGGATTTGTATCACCATCAACTGCTCCTTACACCCCTTTGGGATGCATCACTTCACTGCATGGAGGAGTCATCCCAGGCCACAGAGAATGTGCCCTTTGCAGAATGGTTTCCATCCAGCTCACAGATTGAATCCATCCTGTTAAACATCAGATAGTCAGTCCCAAGCCCTCTCTGCTTCATTCAAGTGGCTTAAATCACAGAGATACACCAAGCCAATGTGCTTGCACTGAAAGGCTTTCGGACATCCTTATATGAGCATTTTCCATGCTCCCTCCCCTCTTCCCTCTCTGCCCTTGTATTTGCTGATAATGGTAGGTGTTGGTGATATTCTGTTTTCCCCTTTTCCCTAGTGGATTGATGAGGCAGTCTTGCTGAAATACACTCTATGTGACTCCCATGCAAAATTCCCGCTTACACTTGGCACATTGTTTCTCAAGCTGCAAGCTCTCTAGCATTGCTTGGTTGATTTTTTTTTTGAATGTGGCTACGATGTCTCATTGTATCATGTGACTAACCATCCAAATAGGATGCAACAGTATGGAACACCAGTTGTCCCATCCACAACCACGCAAGCCTACTTTCTGAACCCAGTGGAGATGCATTGGGGTAAAGAAGCTCAGAGGGGCAACCATGTCAGTCTGTAACGTTTTAAAAACAATTAATGGTCCTGAGGCACCTGAGACACTAAACAAAATATATAGAATCATGACTTTTTGTGGGCAAAACCCACTTCATCAGATGAATTGGAGTGGAAATAACAGAAACCAAGTGAGATATATATCTATATTTATATATATCTATATAAGTAACAGCAGAAGATGTATTTGTCAATTGTAGGACCCATGTTAATGAGGCTAATTAAGTGGGCTGTATGTGTCCCATATATAGCTTTTGATGTGGAAATGCAGATGTTGAAGGCAGGAGAAATTTGCTTTGTAATGCGACAACCAGTTAATGTCTTGTTCAACCCAGGGTAATGGTGTCAGATCCGTAGATTAATTCCAGTTCTTCAGCCTCTCTCTCTAATTGGTTAGTGAAATTCCTTTATAGAAGGTTTAACCCTCTTCCTTTAGTGAGAGAGGTGGGGCTTGTTCTCCACTTCCTGCCACCCAAAAAGCTTCCCTGATTAGACCAGCTTTGTTACTTAGGAGGAGGAAAGAACTTTCCTCCTCCCATCCCTGGCCAGTGGCTACATCTACGTTGGCAAGATTTTGCACAAATACTATTAATGCAAGAGTTTTTGCGTTAAAGTATTTGCGCAAGAGAGCGTCTACACTGGCATATGCTTTTGCACAAGAGATGTGCTTTTGAACAAAAGCATCCGTGCAGTAATGGTTGAAAAGTGGACTTCCTATCATCCTTCTGCAGAATTCTGTGGAATTGCTGATGAGTGCCAGCCACTAACTTCTCTACTACACGTGTATATGTGTAACCCACACACCTAGTGTGGTTCACTGGCCCATGTAGTGGCATTGAGACCACTACAGCCTAAGCTAAAAGAAAACTGGCTTTATAGTTAAAGCTGTAAAAACTCCTATACTAAGCTCTAGAGGTCCCAGGTTCAAAACTGCCTGATGGTGGTCACGCAAGTACCCACACACTATTCAACAGGCTGGAAGACTGTGGTGCAAAAGGAAACATCCTTAGTGTGCAGCAACATTTGTGCCAACACTCATCCAGTGGTGCAAAGGGGAATCACTGCCCAGTGGTAGTATTTGCCATGTTCTAGAGACACATGTGGAACTGTGGCAGGAAAGCTTTGTCAACTGCAGTATTTGGAAAACAGATATCTATATGTATAGATATCTATAGATCATATAGATATATATTGTGCAAGGAAAAGACAGGTGACTGGGAGTATTTACAATACACAGAGTGGATGTGAAGCTGGACTGCAGGTTTATTTGTAGTACATACACACAGTGGGCTGGGGTCTCCTGAGGGGGTTTATCTGCAGCACACCCACCCAGCACACACACACACAATGGGAAGGGAAGCCTCAATGGGCTATATTTCCAGCACATGCATACAGACCCTTACACCATGAGTGTGAAGCTGCAGGGGTGTTACCAGCACACACACACACATAGAAAACGAGTGTGAAGCTGCAGGGGTGTGTTACTAGCACACACACAGAGTAGCGCGCACACACACACACACACACACACACACACACAGAGTGTGAAACCGCAGGGGGAGGGTATCACACACACACACAGTGAGTGTGAAGCTGCAGGGGTGTGTTACCAACACACACACACACACACACACACACACACACACACACACTGAGTGTGAAGATGCAGCAATTTTTGTAATCTACTCGCCTGTGGCCACACAGGGTGTGTTACTAACACACACACACACACACAGAGTGAGTGTGAAGCTGCAGGGGTGTGTTACCAACACACACACACACACACACACACACACACACTGAGTGTGAAGATGCAGGGGTGTGTTACTAACACACACACACACTGAGTGTGAAGATGCAGGGGTGTGTTACTAACACACACACACACACACAGAGTGAGTGTGAAGCTGCAGGGGTGTGTTACCAACACACACACACACCAGGGGTGCGGGCGGGGCGGGGCGG